TTCTTTAAAGTCCGGACGAAACGGGTAATGGAAGAGGCCTGGGGAATATGTGACGCGGGGAGGAACGGACGGCCCGGAGGAACTTCGCAATGAAGACATTCTTTCGTTTCGCTTGAAACCGACCATTGCGCTCCGTGTGACCTGTCTCTCGCGTCTTTTTATTTTCAAATCGGCGAAATTACGAAGACTCTTTCTTAGGAAACGAGGAATCCTTTGTAAATGTTTAAATTATAAGATAAACGGTGATAAGTCTGAATGAATTTAGTCGTTTCGTTTTTTACGAAGCAACACGTCTTAATCGCTTTCTCAGAGCTCGGTAGATTAGTGTTAAAAATCCCAAGGAACGATAGAGAAGAATCGTTGTTAGAGAAATAGAAACTGTTCAGTAACGAATGATCGATTTCGTTTGAGATGTTCCCGGAAATTTGTAGTAATTAATATCAATAAATGTTTCTTGATGTGCGATTAAAATTTCAAATCGGTGGCTCTAATAGATTCAACGCGTTGAAAACAGGCACATCAAACGAACACAATTGTATTCGCTTCTCCATGAATTGTCATCTTTGGCCGACTCGCCGAAACTCTGTTTCGCGAACAGATTTTAAAAATACAGTAAAAAGATCTTCTTCCCAAATTGTCCATTTTTGTGTACAATCTGGGAAGCGTCGATTAGGGAGAATTTACTGTATCACGAAGACTGAGATTATGTATTATGTTTTTGTACGGGAACACATACTTTTGTCGATTCGCGAACAGACGAGCGTGGGGAATGATTAATAGAGATCTCGCTTGGCAACGATCTCGATCGGCTGAGCTCACTTTTCTCGCGGGACTTTCGAACCTTTGCGCGCCGTTCTTCTCTATTTTCTATGGCTCGAACCGATCGTCTCGTCTGTTGGCACTCAATTCGGCTTTATCGTAAGGAAACCGAAATCAGTTTAGCACGCCTTTGCAATTTACCACCCGTCACACAGTCGAACACTCCCGCGGTGATAAAATAAAATGGATGTACGAAAACTCCCACGGTTTTGCAGGAGAGCGTCTGATTTCAAAATCTCAGGCAGAGAAAATTGTCTTGCATCGATCAGCTGACTCTTTGCGAGAAACATAGAATATATGATAACGCAATTTATTTTTGCTGCTGCACTCGTTTTCTTACCAATGTTCACGTGATCTGTCAGAGTGCAGGCTTTGCTAAATAAACAAGTTCGCATGCTATAATTAACGCTAAACCTACCGAACTCTGAAAGCACTAACGTGTGTCGCTTGGTAAGAATGACCAGACCGAATGTTTCTAAACTTCTCGTCATTTTTATTACAACACAAGCTTGAACAAGCGAACTCGTTCAATCGTTTCCTGAGCAAGTGTCTTCGTATTTTCAACGATTTCAATCGGCATGGTCTGAATTAATATTAAACAGAGAATCATGCTACATTTCTCATGAGAACGATCGATTTAATTTCCTCGAGAAGCGTCTATAAGTCTGAAATTTTTCGCACAGAAGTATCAGGGTCTCGACGTCCCATTTGAAAGGACAAGTATCAATCGTTAATCGACTTACGTCAGCTCGTTTTAGGGGATGTCGAGGCCACTAATAATGGGAGATGTTTGCTCCCCATTATTTGCCGCGTTTATCGCAAACAGTAAAAGATCGCCGGTTCAGGATAACGGGCGGTAATCGTTCCAGTGCTCTTCGGAAGTTAGGCGAGCTTGCACCGACCCTCCGCTCCCCAGAGCTCATCCAGCATGCAAAGTTATTCCACGCCTTGTGCATGGACGGTTAAAAACGGGTGGCCAGTTGCTCATGAATCTCCAGTAAGTTCTTCAATAGTTCAATTAGTTCGAGCAACTTCGGTCGGTGGCAGTTAATTGGCCTACTTAGATCATCCACGCTAATTGAATCGCTCTCGACCCAGGCGGTGATTATTGAATCTCACGTAACTCCTCGAGATTGGGTTTCAACACACTCCACGCATCAATATCCTATACAGAGTCTCCCTCTTTCTCTCTCTCTCTTTCTCTTTTTCCCTCTCTTTTGTTCATTTCCCCGATTTTCAATTAAAAGTATACGCTGTTTTTCGATTCCGCTAAAACGCCGTTCGCGCACAACGATCTGGGTTATCTCCTGTGCCTTTCGTAAGGAGACAAAAGATGTCAAGCACACAGAGGATTTCAGGCGAATTCCCTTTCCCCCATTAGACGCGGAGCTTTATCCAGGCTGCGAGTGTAATTTTAGCTACTCGGAAATAGCAGTTTATTCGGCAGTGTATCAGCCCGCTCTCGCGAACCTTTTCACATTTCGTTTTTGTTTCCCTTCCGGCGCGCGTTCGCAGCTCCGGCCCAAAGGAACGAGGAAAATGGAAGTGTATTTTTAACGGTCGGCTGGAAAATCTCGTGACCCGCACTCGCGGTCGAATACCAGGACCGGAAATTGCACGGAATTTCGGTGAAATCGCACCGCGAGTCCTCCTCGGTCTCCGCGGATCGCGCAACTATCCATTTTCGCTCTTCTCCCGCGAGCTTTCGGAAATGTCCTCTTGAAAAAGGTGAAAAGGATGGCGCGCTATAGAAAATCTCTGATAACAGTGTTTGATCCCATTAGTGGAGCAGAGAAAGATGGAATCGATACTAAAATATTCGTATATAATAAAAATAAATATTTGTCTACAACGATGGATATCGCATTCTTCATTTTAGAACGACCGAAATTCCATCGAGTCCATTGATTCGCGGCATTTTTCAGGGAAAGCCATGTCTCCAGTTTTCATTCGTTATATGATGCCAGAACATCCGAGTACGAAATGAACGTGGATTGCGAAATGCAAGATTGCAAGTTCTGAAACGAGTTCAGGTTTATCATCGATCCATTGTTTCGACGAGATCCTGACGGCATAACCCTTTGCACTCGAAGCCATTTTAACTCCCGACCTTTCTTTTAAGCTAGAATATTTTCATACGTTCTCGATTCTTTATTCTCTTTTCGCCTGTAGAATTTAAAACAACCACTAACATAAAAGCTGTACAACGCTGAATCCAATACAGTTTTATCTTACTTGTATTTACACACGCGACAGCTGCACTTTTAACAGTTTAAAAAATCGAAACAAATTTGATAGCCTAAAGATGACGTTGGAACGATGAAAGCGTCACCGCTCGTTTGCAAAGCGTGCGATATCTCTCAAAGTGGCAACTTTTGGCGAACGGTAAAAATCCAATGTGTTTGTACAGTTTCGCGAGTTACCGGAAGCACGAAGATCGATTGTCTTCATCACGAGCGTGTGTACTGTAATGTTATCGCATCATCCACGAGAATCGACGAAAACATTGAACGTTCGGTAGGCAATTGCCGAGGGCGGCTCGTCTTCGCCACGTGAAAACTCCTAATCAAGGTATTCAAAATTCGCCTATCCCTTCCAATCCTGTCTCTCGCATCTCGTCTCTCCGCGAGTCGGCGATCGTATAGGCAGGCGTAAAGACAAGCGTATAGGCAGGCGGCGGATAGGCACGCGGGGGCGTAACGCACACCGGCGAAAAGGGGTCCACGGGAAAAGCGGGCGATCCACCGTGCGGGATCTAAGAAGGGACGAAAATAGTAGCGGTGCCAGGATCGTATTCACGCTCGCGCCCCACGGACGTGGATCTGCTTTCTATTAATAGCGGGGAACGAAAGGGAGCGCGATCGAGAGTCGGCCTCCGCCGCATAGGCATCGTCCCGAGTCTTGGTGCTGTCCAGACTCTGCCCGCAGGACTTCAGAGCCGCTCGAGCTGTCGCGGACTCCACATTCCACCAGCAAAAGCTCTCTCTCTCATCGTGCGTGGCCTGTCGTTGGAAGCATCTGTTGCTCGGCTGGTGCCCCGAGGCGAACCCTCATACCACCACATACACACACTCTCCCACCCACCCACACCACGTCCACACACATAGCCACACATTCACACCGTTCGAGTGTAAGTTTCATTACTTTTTCATTAGTGCTGATTTACGATAGCTTGCCTTCGCGAGCACGGGCCCCCCGGGTGGCATGATTCGAGTGATCCGACCGGGAATCGCGCGTTCTACGATCTAGCCGTGCACGGTTCGATTTAGTGATCGATCGGTCAAGTGAGTCCCCGCCTCCTCTTCCTCATCTTCGGCTTCGCCTTCGTCTTCGTCTTCGTCGCCACCTTCGTCCTCCGGTTGCTGCGAGAACAGAAGTGTGCACAGTGAAATACTAGAACTCCTAAGATCCGAATGGACGCTGCGAACCCGAGGATCCGGAGATATCCTGCTGACTCGTCCACTCCGAAAGGTTCAGAGATCGACCTCCAGGTGACCAACTATCGACCGGGTCGAAGGACCTGCAGGGATTCCTGTGCAGTTCGATCCCCGATCGTTTAGGCTCCAGGGAGTAAAACGGGTTCTCAGTGGTCGGTAGCGCGGAAGATCGGCGGGAGAGACGGTAATCGGCGAGCAGTGAAGAGGAAAGTTCCCCGACTTGTGACCCGGGCACCGTATCTATCGATGTTTTGGTGAAGACAGACGGAAACGCGCGGGCTCCGGGTCCGCGGTTTCTAAATATGGCGCGTGGCGCCGCGATTGCTATGGCCGCGAGTCGGATGTCCCGTTTCGAGGCATCCGCGAGTGACGCGGACAATTATGTAATGTTGTTCGTTGTTCGATGCGTGTCGCGTTGCACCCACGCCCGCGGAGGGAGACTCTCTAAACGTTCCCGTGCTTCCTTCGCTGAGATCTACTTTTAACTTCTCCCGATTCGGCGTCCCGACGCCGAGATCCGGCCGGCGGATCTTCATCTCGTCGTTATTCCGCGCGGACCTGATAAATGCCGGGGGGGTTGAAGGGATCGTAGGATCGGTTTCACGAGGGAAAAAAGTTCGGTAACGAAGACGAGATCGAGGAGGAGGAGGAGGAGAGTCTCTAGCGGAGGGAGGTTTTTGATATAAAGAGGGAGAGAGAGGGAGAGAAAGAGGGAGAGAGAGAGAGAGAGAGAGCGAGGGAGAGAAAGAAGAAGGCTAGATGAACGAAGGGAGAGAGCGAGAGAGAAGAGTAGAGAGTCGGTTTTCTAAAATTAGAGCGACGAGGAAGAGAAGGGGATGGCTCCTTATAGAGCTTGCGACGCCGAGCTTGCGGCCAGGGTTAGCAAACTGGCACTCTCTTTCTCGTCTCAGAATATCGGATTACCTTTGCACCGGTGCATCGTCTCGCCCCTTCGACTTCCTTTCTTTTCTAGCTGTTTCTTTCTCGAGCGCCGGCAAGGTTCGATCTATGCGAGACCGCCACCCTCGACCACAACACCCCTCTTTCTTTCTCTCTCTCACTCTCTCTTTCTCACTCTTTTTCTCAAGCATTTTCGTCGCGACTCGGCTTATTTGATAATTAAGCGAGGCTATCGTGTGGCGCCTGGCGCAAATCGGACGATCGGGCAGGAACTCGATTTTCTTTTTATTCATAATTTCTCCTAGTGACCCGGTGCTTGCTTCACCCGGAAACGAACGCGACGTGTGATCGTGGTTCAGGTCGGGAGCTGATCAATGTAAGTCCTGTTGCTGTCTGCAGTTAGAGACTTCTTCGGATTGCTATCTTGGTCGTTCACGAGTCTCTGAACGAAATTATTAGCTGCGGGAAGAACGCATTTGAAAATGCAGTCGCTGCGATCAGATGCTACATCTTGGACTCGGAAAATGTAATTCTTTTCTGTTCGGGAACATATTACCGTTTTTCATGATCTTTAAACGATCTTTACAACTTATTAATTATATTACAGAGTAACTAAACAGCAGATAATACTGAGAATTCGTTAAAAACCTCGAGCTGCAGCTGTGATTCCAAACACGACCTGGGACAGCATAATCGAGCATTGTCTTTTGCTGGTCTTCGCTCTGAAGCGAACCATGACAGGAATGATACTGATCGTTGAAGAGCTTGTGTACTTTAGATTACATTCGAATTGTACCCGGTTTTAGAAAACTCGACAGTCTCGGTTGTTACGTCGAGAAACTTGCACTGATCGGCTTCCGAACCTTCCAAATAGTCGAGGCTCTTTCGTTAACCTCTTTCCTTGCAACCAATTAGCGTCAGACTCGCGATGATGCTTTTAAACGCAATGAACAAAGCGTGTACCTTATTAAATTCTTTGAATCTGGAATCAAAAAGCAATGTTCTGTCGTGCATGTTTAATCCTTCGAGAAAACGAAGGCGCGCGAAAATTGCTATTTTCTTAAAAGAAGTTGGAAATTCGAATAAACGATAAACTAAGAAGTTCTAGTTGCAAGGTAAACGAAAAGGCGAGGGGTTCAGGAGATAGAACGTTCGAAATTAGATGTTCGAAAAAGAAGATCGAGGTTCGATCGTGTCGGTGTCGCGAGGTCGCGAGATTGAGTGCGAACCGATCGTGGAGGAGTGCATGATCTAGGCTGTGCTAATCGGCGCTCTGTTTCCGTGTTGCAGCACCTTAACCGCCCGCAAACATGTCTGACGACGAGGAACAATACTCGTAAGTATTGCCACCGGTCTCCGGAAGAGAGCCAAGTTTTTCGAAGTGTAATCGGATCGAAGTCCCGACATTCTCCGCCGCCCACGATTCAATCTTCGCGCGGCTTCCTGCTCGAGATTGCCTCGGGAACAAAAGAGCAATAAGAGAGGAGAAATAGGGAAGTTCGATAAATCGAACGAGCGAATGCTACGTAAGCGGGGCGCACGTGTGCCGGACGAGCCATTGAGAAACGGTCGCCGGTCGTCGAGCGGCTGGGAATGTCGGTGATATTTCAGCGAGAGCGTAGAATATCTTTGAGCAGAAGCTAGGGAAGCTAGGGAAGCGTCTCGATGGATCTTTAGGTGTTTCTTAGCAGATATCGTTCTCGTCGATCCACGAGGATCACCGAGACCCCCGCGCCGATCGTTCTCACACCACGAACAATATACCCGACAAAACGAATTGCGTACACGTAAGATGAAAGACAAAGGAACAACCCTCCTGTGCTGTTCTCTGTGGCTCGCAACGTGCCACCCCCACCCCCAACCCCTACAAACCCCTTGAATTTTGTCGTGGAAGTACGTATTGCCCACCATCCAAGCCAGCCCCCAGTCACGTGCCTTTTGTCTAGAAGTGTTAACCGTTGCACGATATCACCCTCGAAAACGTGATCGCACGCTGATAACGCGTCTCATCGCTCTGTCTCTTGAACGGCTCGATCGCGTAACGTTTCGTAGCGGCGGTTTTCAAACGTCATCAGTTTCCGACGCCCGACACACGCGATAGCTATTAGGTTGTCCGAACACAGTTCGTTTTTAATCTTTCGTGTGGATTCAATGAAACGGACTCTGGGAAACGTGAAACGAACTTTCCGAAGAAACTATAGCTTGTTCGAAAACAATCAACTAGGTTGTTGGGAAAGTTCGTTTCACATTTCGTAGAGTTCGCGTTTCATTGAATTCATACAAAAGATATGAAACGAACTTTCCGAACAACCTAATAATTATATCACATCGATTTTTTAGTTATTTCATTTGATATTGCTGCGTATGCAGAGATTCTTCAATAAAATACTCCGTCTATTTCGTTTCGTACTGCAGGTTTCGCAAATCAAATTGGCCTCGAATAACGTGTTTACAGATCTAGTTCACGTATTTTATTGACTCTGTTGTAATAACAGATTGTCACGGTTATAACGTGAATATGCATATGAAATTACCAAGCAACAACTGCGAGAGAACCATTACCAATAAGCTGTGTACACTATTTAAACAACTATGTTACGGTCATCGTTGTACGCAGCAAAATTCCGAACTTCCAAACGATAAATTTTCATTAACCAGTTAGCTGTTGCAATCCCTTTTGAAAGGTTACTGTTATTGCAGGTTACTGTAATTGTACTGTACATGCTTGATGTTCTTTGTATTTTGTTTAAATAGAACACTTCTATAAAATATATAATTTAATAAAGAATGTCAGAGTAGCAGTTTTCTCCCTATAATTGACGCTTAGATCGTGCACAAAAATGAATAATTTTGGAAGAGGAGGTACGATTATTCGAGAGTCTTCGAGTTCGTCTTTTATAGTTACCAATTGCCAACAACTATAAAAACGAACCGCGAGGCTCGAATGATCGTATCTCCTGCTTCCAAATTGTCCATTTTTGTGCACAATCTAAGCGTCGATTAGGGAGAATGTTTTTGACGAGTACACTCGTCACGAAGGAGAATCGACGTTTCGTGCCGTGACGAGTACGCTCGTCAAAAAAACAGCCAACTCGATAATTCGATATCCATTCGAAAAGCTCGAAGAGTTGATTTTGATCGCGAAGAGCTGAATTGGATCGGAAGAAGTGAAATTTGATTGGAAAAAGTTGAACTTAATTTGCAAGAGTTGAATTTGTTGTGGAAGAATTGAATTCGGTACAGCGTGAATTTTATCCGTGAAGAATTTCAATTGGATTCGCAAGAGCGTGAATTTGAAACGCGAAGCTTGCGTAGCGAAATTGAATAGCTCGAGCCTGAAACATCGTAATTAAATCGCGCAAGGGAGGTTAAGGTTGAAGAATCTCCGTGGAATTCCGGCGAGATAAAAATCAAAATTGTTCCGCCGGTTAGATAATTCGGTCTATTTCGGAAACGTGAAAATTCCGTCCGGGTGGGGGGACATTGTGTACATCAACGGATGATTCATCCGGTTGGATCCGCTTCGATCTATATTCAGTTGGGTGGACAGACGGGTCCAAAAATGTCGAGATAAGACACAGACGTTTCACGGCTCGTGCATATTAGATCCCCGGCGTGCTCCCTTATTTAGACACCGTGAACTTTCATGAATACGGGACGAGCCGGTTAATTATTCAGACACCGCGAGAAACGCGTTTTTAGCGCGGCCGATCATGTGACACGCTCGCCCCCACCCCACCCCACGCCCCGCGCACCCCACCCCACTTCATTGTCTTATTTATTCTCTTCGTTCGTTCTTGATTAAAACGTTACCCCGTGGAGCTGTGACTACTAACTGTCGATGAATTCTCGATATCTTGTGCATAGCTAATCGTACAAAATGTCGTTCGTACCGGCTAAAATTATTCGATCGAACGTATCGAGTGCCCGTCGTTAGAATTATTCTGTACACTTGACGCGAATCATTTTTTTATTAACGTCATACGCTGGTAAATTAATCACATCCGTTATTCACAGAACATGCGATTTTAATTGTGCGAACAGGCACGTTTTGGCGATCTTTGTCGATTGAAGTTTAGTATTCTCCATTTTGCATAATGGAAGATGGTTATTTTGAGCTTGTTAAAAAGACAGGACTTGTTGTTCAAGTCTTTTTAAACATCCTTTTCTACCGTAGAATATTTCAGGTTTCTGATAGATGCTCATGCATTTCTTTCGGCGATCATATTCACAGTTCTGACTGAATAATTTTAGCTGGAGGTAGAATATTTTTAAGACAATTAAAAGCGAGCAATTCTGAGCTATCACGCAACGCATTAATTCAATCATTTTTTAATGTAATATACTAATGCTTTTCCCGTGACATGTTCGACACTAACGATAAATATACTGAGCGCTAGAAGTCGCTCAATTTTTCTTACAAGATGTGCTTGAACAAAAGAATACGTTTCATCGTGTCCAATGAAAGCTTCTTTATAATTTCGACGATTGAGTGAATTATAATATCGTAGCGGCGTAAGTCACGTTTCAAAAATTTTGATTTATTTCTTGAAATGTAATTTATACACGTCAAAATGTTAAGAAGGCGAGTCAAATAAATTATAAAGTTACTAGGAATTTTAATTCAACTCTAAATAATCTGAACGATAAATGTCAGAAAAAAATACACATGCTAGTAAACAATAACATTCTAATGCGATAACACTCAATGCAATTCTAACCGACTCAATTGTAAGTTGAACAATTTAAAAACAGTTATTTGCTCCGCGGTTCGATTTCGTTAGAATTAATCCGTCGCAGTCGAACTCAGACGCTTTTATTTGTCACGACGACATTTTAACGACGTTCTTGAAACATCAGAATATCCGGTTATCGAGATTTCTCGATAATTTCGTCGATGGTCGCAGCTCTGTCCCCCGTGGCCCTGTTCACCACCTGTGTACCCGTTTCGCTAACGAACAACATTTTCCATTTTCTCTTTTACAGCAGCGAGGAGGAGGTGGTCGAGGAAACGTAAGTGTCCGCCGCTAATAACCGAAATAATCCCGTGTTACCCAATACAGCACATTACTAACGTCCATGTTCTCTCGTTTTCTCATTCCAGGAAGTAAGTTCCAGAGGCTTGTCTACGTTTAGACGTCTGCCACTACCGCGCGCAGAGTCGCAGAGCGCGGAATTCTCCGGAGACGTTTTTTTCTCGTTTATTCTCATTATTTTTCGTTTTCCGTCGGATCCCATATTTTTCCCGGAGCTTCTCGACGCTCCCCAGGTTCGCCGTCGGCCGATCCCGAGTTTTCTTCGCGATCTCCCAATTTCTCTTTGACGATCGACCACGTTCCCTTCTGGAAATCAGGCTTCCGCGCCGCACACTTCGAGAGAGATCGTTCTTACCTCCCGCCTTCCCCTGTTTTTCAAACCGCGAACACCATTTTTTTTCCTGTACAAGGCTCGTTAATATTCGCACGCTTTTCACCAGAAAATGACCTTTGCGTAGAATCGATCCGAATGACCCGGGTTATTCGGAGCAATAACGAAGCCGACGATGCGCGGAGGAAATTACAACGACATCGGATAGGGGCTCGCAATTTCCAGGATATGTTCTGCAGTTTTGTGTCGGTTGCATTCGCTGGTTGGCGAGAACGAGTATATCTGTAACACGTTTTCCTTGTCGTTGCTCTTTGCAGTAGGAACGCGATGGGTAGACAGTGATTTCTTATTTTTAGCCGCCGCGGTACATCCGGAGGATTTCATTGAAATCGTTCGATAAACTAAAACAGAACAGAACGATGCAAGTGATTTTTCAAAGCCCGGCGAAACTGCGATTTACGACGTCTTCGCAACGATTTATAACGTCGGCCGATTTCCATAAAATTTTCGGAATGCGAGCAACCGACGCGAATCTGCAGAACACATCTGGCGAATTTACGATATTAGCCCGAATGAAAAAGTTATGTAACTTTTGCAGTTCGAATTTCCTTTCTACGTGATCCGGTAAACAGAAGTCGTTCGGTCCAGATGCGAAACAGTTGTTCCCCTGTCGAACGTGTTCGAATATTAACAGCCGCGACTGGGTTTATTCGCGGAGCTTCGGACTCGACGAATAGATCGTTCAGAAGGTTCCGAATGGTTTTTCGGAGGTGTATCGGCGAATTGGCTTCTAATAATAACGAGCGTGCGCGTGTTCACGCGATTTCGCCGAGGTGATCGCGTGCCCGTCGCGATCATTCAGGCGTCACAGAGTCGCGGAATGGTTTTTTCAGCGGCAAACCTTGTGCAACTTTTGCGATCGCAGGCACACCGCCACTGACAGGCCTGCACGCCCCGAACAAACCACGGTTAGAATTAGAACGGACATTTTCACGAAAATAGGACGCTCGGTTGGACGGTCTCTGTTCTCTTGAATAACGGATAATGATAGACCGGAATCTTTTTTATTTCTGGAGCGGTTCGTCCCTTCGAAGTACTCTCACAGATCTTGAAGCAGACGTTCGTGAAATCAACTCGATTCAAAATCCGGGCTACTTTTAACTTCATCTTGCGTTTCAATTAGGATTTAAAACGGACAGAATAGAACGGACGCAAATATGCGTGAGATTAACTTGATTCGAAATCTCGAGTATTTTTGTAGCTTCTTCTTGTTTCAATCAGAATTCAAAACGAACGGAATAAAATGAGAAAAGAAACGTTCGGTGGGAACCACTCGTTTGAAAATATATAAACAGCATAGTATTATAGAAACAGATATTTATATTGAATCAAGAATTTTTCAGTTAATTAAATATCGGCGGAAGTAGTAAACCAAATATTGATATCGGTAGAAAATATATTAAATAATAAATATTGATTTTAGAGTCAGTGTATCTACATAGGATATACAATTTCCAAAAATATGAAGAGTCCACAGAAGCAGAAGATTGCGCGCAAGTATCGTTCGCTGAAAACGCTATTATAATTCCCCTTACCGAAACATGGGCCCGCAGAGTAAACTCGGCAAAAATTCCATCTGCAGAGCTCTGTTATTACAGTACTTCGCGGCGTTTCAAAAAATTGTTCAAGCTTCCAGAAAAACCGTCCGTGAAAAATCACGTCGGCGGTGCTAGAGTGATCTCTCTCGAACCACCGTTAAAATTAGCTCAGCCGTGGTTCTCTCACGAAAATAGAGCAGACGAATGGCGCGGCGTGTGTTCGAACGTGTGTATCTAGTTACATATTAATTCACCGATGTCATAAGCCCGGATCTCGGGATCTTCGAATGGACGCGATCGAACCGAACGAAGGCGGCCCATTCGTTTGCAGGAAACACGCAGTAAACAAGACTCGAATGATTCCGTGACGCGGCGATCGGTTGTCCGGGCGGTTAATGATCAGACAAAGATTTAGGATAGAAAAGGAATTATTGGGGATTTTGTCTCGAATCTCGAAAGGGACGATTCTCGGCGGATTTTGTGGAAAATTAATCGGACCCGCCCCGCAGCCGATTCCGTCCGACCGGTCGACGTCAATCGAATATACCGGTCGTTCTCTCTTCGACAGATTTTCTTTTCTCTGATCTTCGTTTCTCTGTTTTGTTTTTTCAATCTGCCTCTCTCCAATCTACTCCCCTACGCCCGAAAATCTCCACAATACAATACACAAAATATATACCAACCGATCGATCGAAATCACCATCGACCGAACGAACGACCGACGCGAATCACAAATACTCGAAAAATCGAAGGCAACCGGAGAGGAAGATCGAGTAAGTTTTTTCGCCGGCAAACACACTGCACAAAAATCGCCTGCTCTTGCGCGGGCAAACAAAGCTGTGTTCACTTCTCTCTGTTTCTCTACTCTGTTTACTTTTATTTTTGTCACTATTTTACTTTTGTTTCTGTTTCACCTTCTTCACTGTTAATCGTCTAACAAACGTTGTTATTTGTCTTGTCTTCCACGGGTTGTTCGGTTATCTGTTCGTCTGCTATTCCGCTCTTACAATTCTGTTCACTGGTTCGCTATTCACGCAATGTGTTTCTGACTTTTTTCATTATTTTTTCTCTCTCCTCTCTGTTCCACTCTTTTTGTTCACCTTTTTTTTTGTTTTGTCACCTCTCTACTTCTACTTCTACTTCTTCTTGTTTATACTTCCTCTATGTTGTTGGTGTTTTATTTTTGACTTTTGATTTTGACACACGTATACCAGACAGCTTTCGTTGCGAGATCACTGTTGCTCTGTACACTGTTTTCTTTTTGTGTACGCTCGCATTCACGTTGAAATATCGTATGGACGTACCACTCTCTAATGAGACGCGTTCGCCGATCGTGAGGATTTTGTTTGCGCGCGATGTTCCTTTGACGTCTCGACTGAATATTTCGCAGCCAGCCGTCCGTCTCTGATATCAATTAACATCTCCGTTTCTTCGATCACGGAATTCAATTTCAGAGCTCCGGAAGTTTTTGCTAACGAACCTCCGTTTGGTACAGCAACGAAAAATGTCAAAACTCGCGTTCTCGAGTTTGATACACTGCAAGTTCGATTTTTTCGGAGATTTAATTTTGCGAACGACAGAATCTCGTAATTTTTTAATCTCAAATGTATCAAGTTTCTCCAATTCGAAATTTGTAATTTCAATATACTAAATTTAAATATTTCTCGATTTAAACAAATTTTAATTTAAAAATTTTCAATTAAATATTTTTAATTTCAAATCTTTTATTTTTAAATTTGATCTAACGAACCTCGATACAATAAATTGATAGTCCCCGTATTTTTAGTGTTTTTATTACCGAGTTCTCTTACGTTGAACTTTCGGTCATTTTATTCTGAAAATGTCAAAATATGTATTTAAAACTCAATTCAATTCTAATTAATTTTAAGCGTAGACGTTTTAGTCCGTTTTAGAATTCTCTACATGTTCGACTTTGAATAATTTCAATATTTAAATCGTGGAATATATTTTCAGACTCAAAAGTTCTCGATAATGAACTTTAATACAGTACATTAAAGATCTGGATACTTATATTAATTTTTGTATTTTCTACAAACAGAAACTCTTCGATGGTTCTTAAGTGACCCCCCCCCCCCCCCCCNCCAAGATCATTATATATATTGAATCTCAAGTCTGCGGATCTTTATGCAAACTAAAAATTAATTGCATTTATTGCAAGCGAGGAAAACTGTGCTTTTAATGCACTTTTAATTTTCCTATTTTTTAAAAATGTCACTTACTCCTTTCACATTCGAAAACGTTAAAAATTGGGCTCATACAAAATGGTCGCCGAGACTCGAAGGAACCTTTCGCCATACAAAATCGTAATCACGGAATTCGGAAAGAGCTGTCGATCAGGATCTTGATCACTCGCAACGAACGTCTAACGCAATGATCGTCTGACAAAATATCCGCGGATCCATATTTTTCGGATCAAGCGTTCAACCAGATCATGGCCATAACAGCCGCCATTGTACACAGGCTCCAGATCGGGGCCGGATAGTTCTGTGCCATTTTTCCGCCACGCAAGCAGTAAACGTTGTACATAGACGCGACTAATTCCTGGTAATTGGTGCGGAGAGGGTGATTTTTCGCGACGGTGACGTTCCCAGCGTGCTCCGTTTTTAACGGCCACTAACGTTATTTATTAACACGCGCGGCGGCCGCTTTAAAAGCTTCTTTGGCCGTTGTTCTCCAACATCGTTACCCGCCGCCGCCGCCACTGCCGCAGTCCCACGGGATCCTTAGGTGGAATTTTCCGAAACGGGATTGTTCCCGTTGCAAATGGAATTTTCGAGTTAAATGCTCCGCGCGATCCGACGCTCGCTCGTCTCCGTCGTTGACGATGAAAAATCACCTCTTCCACTCTGGCGTTGGAAAAGCGAATATCGTGCCGTGCTGGTGTCGTCCCTCACTTTTCTCTCTTTCTTCCTCGCAGTTTTGTTCTTTTTTCTACTCTGTTTCTGTCTCGTGTTCCTTTTGAGCCGCACTTAAAATTATTGTCCGTAGATCGCCAGTAGCCTGTACACGTGCCACACTACCGAGTTGTTAGCCTGTACTTTATGCTGTCTCTCCTCGCCGTACTTTGCCTCCGAGACAATTTTTCCCTTCAGATTCTATTTTCTCTCATACTTTTCTCGGATTTCTTATTTTTTTCTCTTTTTTTTTTATTATTATCACCGAGCGAGAGGAAGTCGATTTTTGTCTCTCTTGTTTCTCCAATTCTTTTCTCGCTCGTGTTAGTTTCTGTTTCTCTCTCTCTCTCTTTCTGTTTCTTTCTCTGTCATTTTTTGTTCTTGATCTAGTCTCTTCGCCACCGATAACTCATTTTTGTCCTCCATATGTTTTTTCTGCTGACGTTGGTTTTATTATTATCGTCGTCGTTGTCGTCGTCGTCGGAGAAGAGATTTTATCGGCGCGCACGTGAAGTGCAGCGAGGCTCTATGTGTTTTACGCGAACACATACATACGTACATACATTCATATATATATACATACATATATGTACATACACACACACGTTTCTCTGCGTGTCGATTTTCTTGGCGTCTTTTTGCCGATTTTCATTGTTCAGTTTCTGTCTCGTTTTTTTGTTCCCGTTTTGTCGCTACTGGTTCGTCCCATTTTTTGGGTGCTGTGTCGATGTTGTTGTTGTCGATGGTCAAACGAGTTTGTCTCTATCGCTGCCACCCCCAACCCGTACAGCCCTCTTTGTCCCTCCGCAAACATGAAATCCGACATACGCACACGAATCCTTTCGAATGGACATGAAAATTGCGGGTGTACGCACGTGCGCCGATCGAAAAGCGAAACGACCGAGTTCGTGCGACTGGTTCGAACGTTTCTCGCCTCCGATTAGTTCGTAGAAGAAAAAGACAATTCGTGTCTATTGTTATACATCGCTGGATTCATACCTTTATTTCGTCCGAAGAGAACGGTATCATTTTTAACGTTCCTAACATTCGTCGCGAGNAATCTCAAGTCTGCGGATCTTTATGCAAACTAAAAATTAATTGCATTTATTGCAAGCGAGGAAAACTGTGCTTTTAATGCACTTTTAATTTTCCTATTTTTTAAAAATGTCACTTACTCCTTTCACATTCGAAAACGTTAAAAATTGGGCTCATACAAAATGGTCGCCGAGACTCGAAGGAACCTTTCGCCATACAAAATCGTAATCACGGAATTCGGAAAGAGCTGTCGATCAGGATCTTGATCACTCGCAACGAACGTCTAACGCAATGATCGTCTGACAAAATATCCGCGGATCCATATTTTTCGGATCAAGCGTTCAACCAGATCATGGCCATAACAGCCGCCATTGTACACAGGCTCCAGATCGGGGCCGGATAGTTCTGTGCCATTTTTCCGCCACGCAAGCAGTAAACGTTGTACATAGACGCGACTAATTCCTGGTAATTGGTGCGGAGAGGGTGATTTTTCGCGACGGTGACGTTCCCAGCGTGCTCCGTTTTTAACGGCCACTAACGTTATTTATTAACACGCGCGGCGGCCGCTTTAAAAGCTTCTTTGGCCGTTGTTCTCCAACATCGTTACCCGCCGCCGCCGCCACTGCCGCAGTCCCACGGGATCCTTAGGTGGAATTTTCCGAAACGGGATTGTTCCCGTTGCAAATGGAATTTTCGAGTTAAATGCTCCGCGCGATCCGACGCTCGCTCGTCTCCGTCGTTGACGATGAAAAATCACCTCTTCCACTCTGGCGTTGGAAAAGCGAATATCGTGCCGTGCTGGTGTCGTCCCTCACTTTTCTCTCTTTCTTCCTCGCAGTTTTGTTCTTTTTTCTACTCTGTTTCTGTCTCGTGTTCCTTTTGAGCCGCACTTAAAATTATTGTCCGTAGATCGCCAGTAGCCTGTACACGTGCCACACTACCGAGTTGTTAGCCTGTACTTTATGCTGTCTCTCCTCGCCGTACTTTGCCTCCGAGACAATTTTTCCCTTCAGATTCTATTTTCTCTCATACTTTTCTCGGATTTCTTATTTTTTTCTCTTTTTTTTTTATTATTATCACCGAGCGAGAGGAAGTCGATTTTTGTCTCTCTTGTTTCTCCAATTCTTTTCTCGCTCGTGTTAGTTTCTGTTTCTCTCTCTCTCTCTTTCTGTTTCTTTCTCTGTCATTTTTTGTTCTTGATCTAGTCTCTTCGCCACCGATAACTCATTTTTGTCCTCCATATGTTTTTTCTGCTGACGTTGGTTTTATTATTATCGTCGTCGTTGTCGTCGTCGTCGGAGAAGAGATTTTATCGGCGCGCACGTGAAGTGCAGCGAGGCTCTATGTGTTTTACGCGAACACATACATACGTACATACATTCATATATATATACATACATATATGTACATACACACACACGTTTCTCTGCGTGTCGATTTTCTTGGCGTCTTTTTGCCGATTTTCATTGTTCAGTTTCTGTCTCGTTTTTTTGTTCCCGTTTTGTCGCTACTGGTTCGTCCCATTTTTTGGGTGCTGTGTCGATGTTGTTGTTGTCGATGGTCAAACGAGTTTGTCTCTATCGCTGCCACCCCCAACCCGTACAGCCCTCTTTGTCCCTCCGCAAACATGAAATCCGACATACGCACACGAATCCTTTCGAATGGACATGAAAATTGCGGGTGTACGCACGTGCGCCGATCGAAAAGCGAAACGACCGAGTTCGTGCGACTGGTTCGAACGTTTCTCGCCTCCGATTAGTTCGTAGAAGAAAAAGACAATTCGTGTCTATTGTTATACATCGCTGGATTCATACCTTTATTTCGTCCGAAGAGAACGGTATCATTTTTAACGTTCCTAACATTCGTCGCGAGTACGATTCGACTTTATACTGCAGCGGGTTAATTTCAGAAACCAGAACCATCGTAATATTCTTGGTCAATTCTCGGGAGTCGCGATTATTTATACGCAGACGAGCGTAATGTCCTTACCGTGGACGCTATGGAAGACAGCTTCGGGCTTCTGTCTAGTGAAATATAGCGATGACGCGTGCAATACCATTTGAAAGATAGCGATCTTTGAAGTGCCAGTCGTGAACACGGCTAAATTACGCTCTTTGATATATAGGAAATCGTACATTTCCTTTGAGAATAATGGTCTTTTTCTACAGATTGTGATCTATAGTTTCGCGTTTCCATTCATTGTCTCAAACATGATCATTCTTCGATCATTCTTTTGCACAGCATTCTTTGCAATGATAGTTAATCATTCCAAGTAGTATGAGTCAATAGTTTCTTCTCTTCAGTTTAGATACCATTTTACTGTTTTTTCGAAGCTTCCGGGGCTGTGTTTACGAACATTTGTCGAAATTGAATCAATAAATTTCTTCGTCGGGGATAGAAGATACGATTCGATAGTCTTCTCACCATGTTCAGAAGTTATGAAACTTTGGTAACTTGTAAAGCACGTACGAGAATATTTTACACAATTTTCCTGCTGCACAAATTCATTAGGTAAAGAAACATTACATCTAAAACTGTACGAACAGGAATGAAAGTATTAATTAATCCTTGTGTCGATACTCGCACGACGTTAGGCATTATTTATACTTCCAAGTGATACTTCTAAGTCTCGAGTGTAAAACAATTTCGAAGTAAAAATCTGTAATGATTTTTTGTGTACTAAAGTTAGACCCATCAAAATCGACAAAATCGATCGATGTGTCGTCTTAAAACGACTCGGACAGTGTTCAACACGAGCTCGATCTATCAGATCGATCATCTTGAAACTTTCGTTTCGTTTCTTCAATTTGCAAGTAACAAAATAAAATTGAGGGACAACTACACCGAGTCCGATTCGTACAATTTGAAACAAAAGGATTGCGTATAACGTGCGAGTACGTGCTGAGCGTATCACCACATGTTTGCTAATTTCCTGAACGTGGGAAAGCGAACGCTCCCTTCGGGGACCGTCGAGATACAGATTAATCGATCAGTCCAATCGACAACGTCAGTTTCGCATTTCATCGGAGCGTCGCCTAGGATCCTACATAGCACACAATTCGCTCCACACACCTAACTATCTCTCTCTCTCTCTCTCCCTCTCTCTCTCTGTCTCTGTTACGCAAACTGCATCTGTCGCATGACGATCGTTCAATTTTCTCGCACCTGGGAACCGCCCGACAGGGAGAACGGTTTGCTGCGAGGATCTGTACCATAGGCAGCCAGGTGCGACGAGGTCCTCAACTCGAAAGACAAAGACGGTGGGCTGCCGGTTCTCCTCATCTCGCTCTTGCGAATCCGTCATCGGAACGATAAAAGAATAGAAAAGAAAAGCACCAAAAAGAAATTCGAAACGAAAGAAAGATAATGAAACCGAGCGAGATTCCGCGCCGACTCTCGTCTGCAAAGCGGGGGAGTAACGGAAGCGGATAAAAGCGGATGGAACGCGGCAGGCTGTCCGTCGACTTGCTGACGATGCTTTATATACCACTTTCAATATTCTTTTTTTCTTTTCGTCCGATCGAGGCAGGACTCAAAAACCGACCGAACGAACGAAAGCGAAAGAAAGGCGAACGAACGTACTATGCCGCGGCTTTGTGCAGTCCCAACACCAAACAAATATCAAAAGAAAAAAAAAAAGAAAAAGAAAAAAAGAACAAACTTAAGCAAAAACAAACAAGCAAACGAGGAACGATGTATCGACTGTTATTAATCTGCCTTTCCTTTCTTTTTTTGTAGGGGTAGGGCGTCCCAAAAGTAAGTTGACATCTCGAGCTGGTTTCTATATACTCGTCAATAATACCTTTTTCTTTGTTCTTCGGCCGCTCTCACACGCCCCCCAACAACCCTCTCAAAGTCCGCGCTTTTGTTCGAACTTTTGGCGGGAACGAGACTCCCGGTATCTCTGTTTCGATTCTCAGAGATCTCTCCGATCGATCCACCGTTTCGATGGAGATTCTCCGTCCTCGATACGTGTGTGTTCGTCGTTCGTGATGCTTTCGACCGTTTCTCGACCACGTTCCCAGCGGTTTCGGTTCAGGCTGACGCATTTTAGCTGCGCTCGGCCCCGAGGTTCTTGACCGTGCGGATCTTTGATCGTCGACGCGTCGCGACGCGACCAGAGAATATTTAACGGCGTCGCAAGGTTGTTGCTCAGCCGAAAAACTTTTCAGGCTTTTGACCGTGTTATACGGCGGCCGTTGCATAAGGGGTGTATGCAACTAATATAACTCGCGTCGGCTGGACGATTGCCAAACGTTTCATAAATATGTGTACGATAACGTAATACGGTTTATTCTTATACTTGAAGCTCCGAGGTGTTCGCTCGCGAGGAACGCGCCACGTTCCGAACTGATGCAATCTAATTAGCGGACTAACGGTTCGGCGGAAAGTGCACGGCCGTGTGTTTACGGCCGAGCCGATCCGCAGCGCCGTGATATCGCACCGTTAAAAAAACTCTGCGTTTGGCTATTCGTAGACTCGTGCTCTTTCTCGTTCGTAGGAGGTCGACGGAAAATCATTCTTTGTTTCTAGGTGAACGACAAGCTGGAACTTTAGGAATGTTCAGATCGAGATAGCGTTTCTCTTTTTTACATATGAACCATTTTTGTCTTTGCAGGATCATCTTTACAATTTGTCTGTCTATACATGTTTCCACGTTCATGTTTAATTTATACATCTTTGTACGGAACTGTTTCCACAGATTTTTGTTAACAATTTACTCCTATAGTGTGTCTTACAGTCATTCTCCAATGTTGAAATCTTTGTTACCAATCTCTTTCTATAGTAGTGCTCATTGGCCACTTACGTTAAAAATATAATCGGTTCTGTCATAAACGTATTCCTTTAATGTTAAACGATCATTCTCTAATATTCAAAGAATTATAATATCTTTTCTCAGAACTGTTTGCACACATTTTTGTTACCGATATCTTCCCAAGGTGTTCAACGAATTATAATTTTCTCTGTGTATTCACGTTTCCGCACTTATTCATGTTCGAAGAATTGATCTTTGTGCAAAATTGTTTCCACATATCTCTGTCACCAAAGTGTCCCTTCAGTATTGAACAGTTATTTACGTTATGTCTGAAACCAAAGCGTAGCTTTCGCGTTCAAAAAAATCACTTATATTCAAAGATTTATAATTCTATCCGCGTACGCATGTCTCCAGAGTCATCCGTGTTCGAAAAATTCGAACATCTTTGTCCGAGACCGTCTCCATATATCTTTGTCACCAGAGGGTGTTCCTTTAGCGTCCGCCAGTCACCTACATTCAAAGAATAGCAACATCTCCGTACAGAACCGCACACATATTTTTCCAAAATGTTTCTCCAACTACATTGAAAGCGTCGCATACGCGATTACAGGTGAATCTTAAGTGTCCACCAGCCCCTTATACAACATTCACATAATCGTTGCACGTTTCTCTCCAAATTGTTCCTCGTGGTACCACGCACGAACCGTTGTTAAGCGGTAAAAATTGACGATCTATTCCGTGAATGTTTAATGCCCAAAGTCTCGATCCTGCCAAAAAAGGACTCTAATCAAACCGTGACTCAGTGCTCGAAACAAACAGCTGACCCCCCAACCCCAGGAAACCACCACCGCCCTAAAGCACTCATGTTTTCTCTCTTTTCTCTGTCTCTTCTCGCTCCGCCCCCTCCCCCTGAACTGCCGGTGTTTTTCTTTTATTTGTCTCTCTGTGCCCCCCGCCCATGATTAATCACGAATTAACGGCTCCTCTCTTTCTCTCTGTACATATAATTACTACGTGTTCGTCGGGTGTACGCAGACACGCGTGCACACACAACAGACACACGAACAAACATCGGCGATTGTCTCGTTGATCTCGCTCGAGTCAACCACTTGGTGTCGTGTTTCGTTTCCTTTTTTATTTGTTGTTCTGTGTCCTGCTCGTGTCCAGGGCTCGTGTTGTTGTTGGATGTTGTACTTTTGTTTTTTATTGTTTCCGCAAATACTCGTGTCTCCCGACCCTTCGCCGCCCGCCAAAATGCCCAATCTCCGTCGCCGTCTCTGTGAAATCGCGCCATTATCTGTCGACCCTCAGCTGTGACACTGGTCTACAGGAATTCCCTCATTTTTCCAATACGGACTCAGAAATCGTTCGCCGTCATCGCTCTCGATTTTGGAGAGATTTCATTTTGAAGCATTCAATCAACTTCGAGCATTTTTTCTGCTCTAATTGTGAAAGATATTGAAATCACTCTTGCATGGAAAGATTCTATCGCCTCTTCCGGATGTAACGGTATATTTTTTAATGAATTCATAAGCATTCTCACAAGTTTATACGAATCTCGAAGCGAGTCTTGTTGCGAGGGCGCTTCAATTTTTCTAGGATTTGTTCTGATTTAACTGTGAGAGCTGTACGAACGTTTAAATGTTTATAACGTTACATACAAATATATCGTTGTAGTCAGAAGACTCTATAGAATCGTTCTACGTAAATCTCTTGTGCGTAACTTTTGCAATTCCGGCAGCAAAAGGTTCCTAAAATCACAAACTGAAACACAATCATCCTCGCTTCGATTGTGGGTGAAAAGGGTTGACTTCGAAAATCATTCAAATCTGTTCAACAGTTTTACAAGATAATTCAAAAATATACCGTTGCGTTTAGGAGAGTCTAATATTAATCATTTCCCGTAAGGGGCGCTTGTCTAACTTTTGCAAATTGTGTTTGCTGAGATTCTCTGAACATCCAAACACAAGGGACAATCGAAATCACTAATTTTGTCGACCAGTGTACACGTAAACGCCCCCTGTCTCCCTTGTTCTCGATCTTTATGTTCGCAAGAAAAACCGAAACGGAGGGGGCCACTGAATTCGCCGAAAATCCGCGAAACTCGGCGCGGAGACCTGGCCGAATACTCATCGTCTCGGCCGTGTTCGTTTCGTAACGCCGTTGCATAACAGCTGGCTACGCTGCCAACGGTGTTGAACGTTGTTTATGATTTCGCCGTGAGCGAGAATCAGAGAATAAACTGACCGAGGACAAATTTTGGACGAGGTCCCGCGCGCACCTCGGCATTTTCTCCCGGCTTTTGTCATTGAACTCGATCGCCTCGGTGTTCAATGATTCGTGAAATTGTGCCTCGGCTCTGTTGTACGAGTCGCATCGGATCGAGTCGCGAGTAATAATCGTTGAACATATCGCGAGACATGAATAGGGCATTGCGATGATCGATTAAGACATCTTTCGATAGCATATTTGATGGCTCTGACCGGAATGTTTCTCTTCGGACAGTAATTCGGTAGCCCTCGGACGCTAATTTAATTCTTTGCACTCGAATATCTTTTCTCATGGCACACACTTTCACGTCTGACTGGTTCTGTTTCACAGAATCTGTATCGACACAGCCTCATGCCAGATTCTATTTGAGTGCAGCAATTGTTCCCAACGCTGTACCATTTTATATTCTATTTGAAGCGTTACTTACTGCATCAGAAATAAATACGTTACAGTTGGCCGAAGGTAATTTCAGAAAATTCTTCGAGTGCAACGGGTTAATACGTAATTTAATTGTCGTTCGATCGGAAAGACTTGTACGATGGCAGTCCAGATCGAGTTGACTGTTGAAAGAACGACAATGTGTCTATGGTTGTTACCAGACAGCGGAATTTGCATTTGCATTCCGTTGAAACAATTGATCGGAATTGGCACTTGCAGCGTCCGCGCACAGACGACGTTTGAGGTCATCTTTTGATAACTGCTATTGATAACTAGTTACAAACAGAACTGTCAATTAAATTGCACGTCGCGCTATTGGCACATAGACTGTCGCACCGATCTTTTCGACAGAAGAACTACATTTTGTAAATTTGGTCTCCCTTTGGCGAAGGCTCTTCGACTGTAAGGTGCCTTAAAATTTGAAAAAGCGAATGAAAGTTATTTCCGACTCGATTCGTCGACTGTCTAGGGGAAAGACAATGTGTCTAATTCAGTGGTCCCCAGAACAACTTCTGTCAACACTGTAAACTAGCCATATTCTTCATTTTCGACTGTGGCTTGTTCTTTCGACAATCATTGACAAACGCGACCGACGATCACTATATTGGGAAAAATGAAGAGGGAAATGTCTGACGAGAAGAAGGTAGTGTCTCCTCGTTGTTCACCCTTGATCGTTGTCTCTGTCCGAGAGGAGATTCTCGACGCACAAATTTGAACAGTCAGCTTTGTCCACCGTCGAGACATATCAACGTGGATGTATCTACATGTTCCACGTAACAGCACGTCAGAGTATTTCTTTCGGGACGACGATCACTCTTGTTCTCATTGCTGTTCCGTTTTGTCCAACGTGTTGATCTCATACTCTTCGGAAACCCGCTGAAATATCGCTTCTGTAAAAACACGCTTAATCGCTTGTTTCTCGAGCGGCTTCGTATTTACCATTTTGACCGTTTTAATATTTGTCTCTTCTCAAGCTAAGCACTAAACGAAACCCCAGAAATCATTGATCCCGAGTCACATCAGACCCTCGAAGATCGAGCGGCTGGCCCGCCCGCGACGTCATCTTTAAAATTAGAGATCCTCTACCCTCGTTTCGTCGATCCTGGATTCGATCCACCGTCGTTTGAACCGGTTCGCGAATATCTCGGATTTTTGACGCGTTTCCAAACTCGCGAGACAAATGGATCATTCTTTTTCAACGCATTGGCAGCCGTCAGAAAGCTGTGGTAGCGATTGTCTGAGCGCGACAATGATAATGCACGCGGAGTACTCGTGGCGCAGCAATTATTAGACCGAGGATTCTTGTGCGAAGCGAAGAATTCCATTCTTTAATAAGCCATTTTCGCCAGCTCATAAACGCACAAAATCTCTGAACTCTAATAATAGCGAAACTGTTACCAAAGAGGCGGCCAATGTGTTAACACGTTCACTGTCCCACGCATCATTGAATAACGTTTATTTAAAACGCACGCAAGATCAATTTGTTATAATTAGATCTTTATGCAAAATAGAAACTGTGCCGTCGACAGCTGCAACAGAAAGGAGTCGGATAGAAATTTCTTTCTTTCTTTAATCATTTAAACGAGTTGGAAATTTTGATATTTTCATTGTTTTCAATTTGAATTTAATTTCAATTTACCATAAAATCCGCTGTGTAGGTATTACATCGAGATATTCAAAAAGTTCGTTTCTAAAAAGCAAAGGAATAAACCCTCTCAATTTTTCTTTCGCGTTGCAGTATTATCTGCACGACGCATCGATGTGTACATACGCTGATCAAACGAACGCGATTATAATTATTCGCGATCAGCACGATGATGTAGGAACGTAAACAAATCTCAGAAGAAGCCGACGAACATTGAAGTATTAATCGAAGACCGCAGTAATTTGGAATGGGGAAAAGTGGACAGTAATCGTGTTAATCCAGTCTCCTGAAAAACGCTGCAGATCGTCCGCGACGAAGTTATCGGCTCCCGGATCCGATCGGGAGGTTCGCCGTTCTCGAAACAAAATTTCGAATCGAGTGACCGCGTAATTCATGGATAAAACCCCTCATCAATTTTCCAATATCCCGACCCCGAGGTGGTCTAATAAATTCCTCCGGGGCCCGCAAAAACTCGCCGGTCCTCCCCTGTCCCCTGCCTCGCCCCCACCCCCCTTTAAACTCATTAACGTCTCCAGCTGGCGTTCCTATTACTTCCTGAATTATACCGTGTCTATCTATCTTTGTCTCTCTGTTTTCACTTCTCTATCTCTCACACACTTTTGCCGCGCCTAATCTTCTTCTCTCCGTGCGCTTTGTACACTGATATTCTCTGTCTGTCCGTACGTCCGTCCGTTTGCGTGTCTGTCTGTCTGTCTGTCTGTCTGTCTGTTTGTCTGGCTGTTTACGTGTCGTTGGTGTGCGTGTGCGACGAAACGCAATATTATAAATATGTGTACGAAACAAAAAACTGACAAAAGACGTAACAAAACGAGGGCTTACAAAAGGATAAAAAAAAAGAAAGAAAAGAGTAATTCGCCATCGAGTGAAGAGAGAGAATGGATGGAGTGTAATAAATAATGGAAAGTGGAACGTGAGAGTGGCGTACGGCGTTCTGGTTCTGGAAGATCTTGCGAGATCTCTCAGAGGACGAGGCGGCAGGAACTAAAGAGAGTTACTTTTGTTTTCGCTCCGGCCTACATCAGGGACTCTGGGGAGAATCCCGAGTTTATGAAGGTGAGGAGGGATCCCCAGTGATCTCGCGCATACGATGCATATGCATGTATATATTATGGACGGATATGTTTACGCGTATGCACGTATGCGCGCGGATACCATCCGAGATTCTCGCTCGAACAACGGGGCATTCACGTTCGTTCACGTCTATTTTTCCGGGCGCGAGCAGAGGCAGGAACAGAAGAGAAGCGACCTAGACGAACAGCTCAAGGAATACATTGCAGAATGGCGGAAGCAGAGGGCCAAGGAGGAGGAGGAGCTGAAGAGATTGAAGGTTCGTATTTCTTCAACTGATAATAGAGATCCGCGTCGAGAACAACAATTGTTATACTTGAAACGATCCGGCACTTCTTGTGCAAAACACCGGAGTGCCGAGAGCTTCCTTTAACACGTTCCGTGCCACGTGTACCATCGATGGTACACGCTTGCATGTTTACTTAGTGAACGGAACAAATTGTTTACCAGAAATTTAGAACCGAAGAATCAATTTCCACCGCAAGAATGGGCGTTGATAAGTTTTTGTTACGTTGTTATGTGTACGAGAATTAATAATTGCACGTAATACATCAAGTTTTAGTCAAATATCAAAGTGTGAAGATTCGAGTAAAAAAAGCTCGGCACGGAACGTGTTAACTGCAAATCACATCTGTTTTGGCTCTGTCTCTTATACACATCTCAAAAAACTGACAAAAGACGTAACAAAACGAGGGCTTACAAACTGTCTCTTATACACATCTCAAAAAACTGACAAAAGACGTAACAAAACGAGGGCTTACAAACTGTCTCTTATACACATCTCAAAAAACTGACAAAAGACGTAACAAAACGAGGGCTTACAAACTGTCTCTTATACACATCTCAAAAAACTGACAAAAGACGTAACAAAACGAGGGCTTACAAACTGTCTCTTATACACATCTCAAAAAACTGACAAAAGACGTAACAAAACGAGGGCTTACAAACTGTCTCTTATACACATCTCAAAAAACTGACAAAAGACGTAACAAAACGAGGGCTTACAAACTGTCTCTTATACACATCTCAAAAAACTGACAAAAGACGTAACAAAACGAGGGCTTACAAACTGTCTCTTATACACATCTCAAAAAACTGACAAAAGACGTAACAAAACGAGGGCTTACAAACTGTCTCTTATACACATCTCAAAAAACTGACAAAAGACGTAACAAAACGAGGGCTTACAAACTGTCTCTTATACACATCTCAAAAAACTGACAAAAGACGTAACAAAACGAGGGCTTACAAACTGTCTCTTATACACATCTCAAAAAACTGACAAAAGACGTAACAAAACGAGGGCTTACAAACTGTCTCTTATACACATCTCAAAAAACTGACAAAAGACGTAACAAAACGAGGGCTTACAAACTGTCTCTTATACACATCTCAAAAAACTGACAAAAGACGTAACAAAACGAGGGCTTACAAACTGTCTCTTATACACATCTCAAAAAACTGACAAAAGACGTAACAAAACGAGGGCTTACAAACTGTCTCTTATACACATCTCAAAAAACTGACAAAAGACGTAACAAAACGAGGGCTTACAAACTGTCTCTTATACACATCTCAAAAAACTGACAAAAGACGTAACAAAACGAGGGCTTACAAACTGTCTCTTATACACATCTCAAAAAACTGACAAAAGACGTAACAAAACGAGGGCTTACAAACTGTCTCTTATACACATCTCAAAAAACTGACAAAAGACGTAACAAAACGAGGGCTTACAAACTGTCTCTTATACACATCTCAAAAAACTGACAAAAGACGTAACAAAACGAGGGCTTACAAACTGTCTCTTATACACATCTCAAAAAACTGACAAAAGACGTAACAAAACGAGGGCTTACAAACTGTCTCTTATACACATCTCAAAAAACTGACAAAAGACGTAACAAAACGAGGGCTTACAAACTGTCTCTTATACACATCTCAAAAAACTGACAAAAGACGTAACAAAACGAGGGCTTACAAACTGTCTCTTATACACATCTCAAAAAACTGACAAAAGACGTAACAAAACGAGGGCTTACAAACTGTCTCTTATACACATCTCAAAAAACTGACAAAAGACGTAACAAAACGAGGGCTTACAAACTGTCTCTTATACACATCTCAAAAAACTGACAAAAGACGTAACAAAACGAGGGCTTACAAACTGTCTCTTATACACATCTCAAAAAACTGACAAAAGACGTAACAAAACGAGGGCTTACAAACTGTCTCTTATACACATCTCAAAAAACTGACAAAAGACGTAACAAAACGAGGGCTTACAAACTGTCTCTTATACACATCTCAAAAAACTGACAAAAGACGTAACAAAACGAGGGCTTACAAACTGTCTCTTATACACATCTCAAAAAACTGACAAAAGACGTAACAAAACGAGGGCTTACAAACTGTCTCTTATACACATCTAGATGTGTATAAGAGACAGGTGAAGATTCGAGTAAAAAAAGCTCGGCACGGAACGTGTTAACTGCAAATCACATCTGTTTTGGCTCATTTATTCTTAGAGTCGGAACTATTGTCTTTTTTCTCTCGTTCTACAATTACGTAAAAATACGCGAGAAATAAAGCCACGAAAAAAACAACGAATTGTTAGATTCTCTAACACTTTATCTACCGGCGGTTTTTTAAATAAATCACGTTTTAAAAAGTGTCTCAGAAACGATAAAAATTTCATTTATATTTGGACAAATTATTTGGATTGATATTACGCGACAACTTCTCTTTAAATTCTTATTTAAACAAAAAATTACTGAGCTTATTTTATATGCAGCACAATCATAACAAAAGCATAAAATCCTAATGGAAATTATTCTGGGAGTTTCTATGGAATTGTTCGGAACTAGATGCTCTACTCTTTTCCGGTCTAAAATGCTTATAAGGAAATTAAATTCATATATAAATTTTTTATAGAAACGATCGATATATAATTTGATTAAAATAAAATTTTATATTTTTTATATTTCCATTTTTAATTAAAGATATGAGGATTCATGTGTAAATTTACAGAAAAATTAGATTTCTACGTAAATTTCTAACATAAATTATAAAATTAACTCAACTAAAGTATAAACTTTCAAGTAAATTAAATTTCTATATAATTTCATATAAAAATAATTTAATACATGATCTCGTTTATCGAAAATAAAATTTTATATAATTATACTATATTACGTGGCTTTATTCGTCACTTTATCCTTTGTTCTTCAGGAGAAGCAAGCGAAACGCAAGATCACTCGCGCGGACGAGGAGAAGAGATTGGCCCAGAAAAAGAAAGAGGAGGAAGAGCGTCGCCAACGTGAAATCGGTAACGTTCGATACTTTATTCTGTTTCGGAGACAATGCATTGACATTTTTACGTTTTCCCTTGGTATCTTACAGAGGAGAAGAAACAACGCGACATAGAGGAAAAGAGAAAGTATGTTTCGTTCTTTTTGTGATTCGATGAGTTCTTTCGGGAGTGTTGTTAATTGAATGTTGATCTGTTCAGGCGTCTCGAAGAGTCGGAAAAGAAACGCCAAGCTATGATGCAAGCGATGAAGGACCAGAGCAAGAAGGGACCGAACTTCACCATCACTAGGAAAGATCTGGCAGTGAGTATCCTTCGACGAAACAAAGTCTTTCTTCTCCACTAATTACAGAAAATGGAATTACCCGACCTCTATATTTTCAGCTTTGCAATTATTCCAAATATGAAAGTGGTAGCAGCAAATTCAACCCTCTGTTTCCTGTTATTTAAATTTACTTTATTTTTCATAATTTACAAAGGGGATAAAAAAATCTGTATTTCTTACAAGTCTATATCTACTCTAAAAATCTCCACTGCAACGAAATATAAATAATATATCCATTTTATTCGTACTATAAAATTCGAAAATAATATCTTAATACCAAAAATAATAATTGCTTGCTTTACATTTTAGTCTCACAATTTGCAATCTTCGGCACATTTTTGCACACAGTCTTCAAGCTTTCTAACGTACAGCTGATGTTTGGGGAATTAAAGAAACCCCTCGTAGATTTGAAGACATAAAAACCAGCTTCTAGCTGCACCCTTACATGACGTTGTCTTTTATAGGATTACACGGGTAATCTCAGAAGGACAACAATGTAAAATAACAACAACGAAGGTGTATCTGTTCAGTGGTAATTAATGTTGTTAATTTCCCGGTGTCGCGCAGGGCAACCTCACGTCGGCGCAACTGGAGCGCAACAAGACGAAAGAGCAGCTCGAAGAGGAGAAGAAAATCTCGCTGAGCATCCGTATCAAACCCCTGGAAATGGATGGTTTGGCCATTGAGAAGCTCCGGTCCAAGGCTAACGATCTCTGGGACACTATAGTCAAGCTGGAAACCGAGAAATACGATCTGGAAGAGCGACAGAAACGCCAGGACTATGACGTGAGCATTGCTGAAACCGGCACTCGAGAAACTCCCCTCGAAACTGTTGCCATTTTTCCACTATTTTTAATCTCTTTAGTACCTATTCGAGTACCATTGACACAATATCTCTGTCAGGCGAACACACTGCGAAAATCCCAGAGAATCGGATTTGTTTAATTAAATTCGAACTACAGAGATAAATTCCTCGCATTGCACTATGACTTCTTCGTCTTCAATCATTTTTATTCTGCAAAGAAAATTTCTATTTAGTTTATCATTTATTTATTCGTAAATATTGATAGGAGAAGCTCGAAATCATATTTCGAGTCGATAGTTATCTTGATTACGTTCGTATTTAATACTTGAACGGCGAGGCTCGGGTTCACTTGAACCCAGAGCATAAATATTGTTATACGACTGCATAGTTTCTGACAATTAATTTAGATTTTCCACGTGCTTCATCAAGATTTAGGGAAGACCATCTAAGGAAAACAAGATAAGGGAAAACTAACGCGTCCAGAAGAAATACTTTGAAAGATACGTTGACAAAGTAGATAAATACAATTATAAATGATCCTGAGCATACTCGGTTATATTTTTGTCGTGGGGATCCGCCGTTGGGGTGTTAATAGACTCTGTGGAATGTTCGTCACGGTTCGTAACGTTAGAAGCAAGGGTAATAATTCACTAAGAGGATAATAATCCAGCTAGAGTGTATTCCCGTTTCCATTATCGATCTTCAGAGTCCAGAAAGTTAAAAGTGGCAGCAGTGCAATATCATTAATATCCCCGCGTTATTCCAGTGAAGAGACGGAAGATCTCACGGCACGATTAATCGTTCTCGATGCATTGCAGCTTAAAGAATTAAAAGAACGTCAAAAGCAGCAACTGAGGCACAAGGCTTTGAAGAAAGGTCTCGACCCTGAAGCCCTCACCGGCAAGTACCCTGTAAGTAGACTCCTAAGACCTAGCCGGAGATCGAAATAAACCCTCCTCGGCAACAATAAAGCTATTTTCTCGGCGCAGCCCAAGATTCAAGTCGCCTCCAAATACGAACGCCGCGTGGATACCAGGTCCTACGACGACAAGAAGAAGCTCTTCGAAGGTGTAAGTATGCCTTCCCTACAATCGATCCAGTCGCTGATTCTTCGAGTGCCCGGGCGACTCAAAAATTCGATTTCCATTCGCGAATCCTGACGCGACCCTGGCGACCCCGAAATGATATCAATGGTTCGAAAGAAAGACATCGATTCGTTATTCGTTAAAAAGATTTCCCTGCAACCGAAGAATTTAGAGGCATCCAGGTATATAACGCAATGCCAGAATACTTCAGCGTTCGTTAAAGTCGGCGCAGCGGGAAAGTTGCAAGAGAAACAACGTATTCTCTTGGAGAGCTGTTTGAATTTTCGTGAAAAACAGGTCTGAGGTCTAACGCTTACGAGAATTTTGTAGAACATGTTTTTAGAGATTGAATTGGCATGATAGAACGGACATTAAGTTACGGTGGTAGATTAAATTGTTACTGATTTGTATAATAAGTATAGAGAATTACGCGCGTGTGCTTCACTTTAGATTGATCTATTTATATTTGTATTGCAAATTAAAAAATCGGGGCATCAGATATCCTATCCAACTCCAGAATTTTGTCTTAACGTACATTTTGAAACCCTGTCACGCGGATGGCAAAAGCTATTGTTAGACTTCAGAAATTATGTTTCCAAAAAGCAGAATTCGAAATCACTGCGGAGCCAAGAGAAAAAGTTAGGAATAGCAAAGAATAAGCGACAGAGCTCGTTTTAGGCGAATTAGTATACTAGTAGCAAAAGAAAACAGAGAACGATTGATCAGTGAAGAATATCGAATTGAATCGCAGGGATATGACACGCTTCTAGCGGAGTACAACGAGAAACTGTGGAAACAGAAATCAGAACAGTTCATGAAGCGCACCAAAAGTGAGTCCCATCGAGCACTTGTTAGTGCACCATCGTTTTGCTTGCGTTGCTGATTGATATCCCTACCCCCCGTTTTTTGAACAAGCCCCAACCAAGATTGTCGGTACGATCGTGTTTTTAATTCGTGTTGGACCCCCATTTACCATGATAGTGGTTCTACATCACAGAAAAACAATTTAGTACAACACACCCGCATATCGTATCTCGCCCCGATGTTTATCATAATTTATTATCGAGGCGCTCACGAATAGGGCATTCCACGATTCCTATAGGTTCCGCGATCGATTTCATTCTAATGTTGTTCTCAGACGCGCTGGACGCGCTCATAACTTGATGAAACTTAAAACAGTAGGAAGATCATGCAATCCATGAGCATTGTTTAAGAAAGTGACAATTCACTATTTCGATTCTATTCCTTGCCACACGATGCAGACAATTTTCACTGTTCGAAGATTCGCACTCGTAAAATAAACTTCGCGATAGTACTATAAGAATCTTTAATAGTACGAACCTGTGTTGTGAGAAAAAGAATTTCTTGTCCTGGAAATAGCACGTTTTGGTTGATTCGTGGAAACGTTCGTCAACATCGCGTTGCAATTAATATTTCTGGTGTTCATGAAACTAGACGAAGATGCCTGACAACAAGATTGCAAATCGTCGCGAAAATCCCCATTTTCAGGACATAAAATATGACATGAATATTCTGACATAAAATGTGTATATATATGATTGTAAATATGTACATAAGAAAACGTTTCTTACATCGTCCACGATATTTTCTCGGAGATCCGAAGTCTTCACGGCTATAAGTTACGGTTTGTCGATGAATGGCTTCTCAATGATGCTACACAAATTCCAGTTCACAACACAGATCCATTTTACATGGTGCCTCTACAAGAAGCAGCATCCTCGCGGTAGATGTCAGAGAGTATGCTCACACCCACACGCAACCACTCGAGACTCGTCGCAACAACACAGACACCGGTTGTCAAGTGACTAACGTTGAGTCTGCGTAACTGGAGAGTACATAGATTAATGTAACAAGAGTTCGTCATTAACAATCGTCGGGCTAGCTAACGGTGTCCTGGTTGGCGCTCGATACACCCCAACCAAACCCTTTCTGCAGCCCTTCTACGCCCCGTGAGCCCAGTTGTCGAAGCGATACAGTGCCCCGGAAAGCCGTGATCTCGAAGCTGGTTCCAGTCTACGCATATTACCGGTCCCATAAATACGTTCCGATGGCCCCGTGTTCCCCATTCGTGAGTTCGTTATCAGTGACTCGAAAACCGAGCAGAGGGTCCGGACGAGTGTCCCATGTGTGATGATCTATCCTAGCATGCGATTTCCTCCGTTGATGTTCCAGGGCCTGACCGAGCAACAGAAGGAGATCATAGAGAAGCAATGGACTCAGCAGAAGGAGCAATTCCTCGGTCGCCAGAAGAGTACGTATGGAATCGTTGACGAGCAGACGCCTATGCAGGATTCCGCTAACTTGGGAAACGAAGTTAACGGCCGGAGAAAGATACTTATTTGAGAGTCGAGACTCTTTTGGTACAGGCAATTGGATAATCTTCGAGAATATATGGGGTGAAATTAGGATGAAGGATGGTGGGGGAAATTTGGGTAACAGAATCGTGGATAGAGAAATTGAAAACAGAAAATTTAGGGCAGATCTTAGAGGAGAAAGTTACGAAGGAATTTCAAGGGAATAAATTGTAGAAAGATTTGGAAGTGAAAATTGAGGGGAAGATTGAGAAAATGGGGTCCTAGGAAAAATGTCGGAAGAAGAATTTAGGGAGCCAGATTCGGGTAACGCGGTTTAAGGGGAAAGTTCGGGAAAGGAAAATGTGAAGAAAATTTCGTTGTAGGAAAAATTTAGCCAACAGTGTTTGGGGAGTTTGCGAGACAGAGCCATAAAAAAGTGAAGTTCGAATGATAAAGCTTAGGAAGAGTTTGACAAATGAAGCTATGGAAAAGGGACGGGATCGCATGGAAATGTATAAAAGAGAATGATGTAAAAAGATACGATCGAAGGGAATTCGATAAGGAGATTTGCGGGAAAATCGGGGAAATGTAGAAATTGGAAAAAGTCGAGCAGAAATAATTGACGGAGGATTGCGCAAGAAGAAAGCCTTGTCGGATCTTAACGTCTTGCGGCACGGAGGATTTATGGATCGGAGGTGGCTGGTTCGGTATACTGGTCGCTTTTATCGGTGCAGCTGAAAGATAGTAAAATACGCGGGCGTAAAAAGCGTTCCGCTGTATCCAGCGTTTATTATTTCACGTATCCGCGTATGCGTCTGCTCGGATCGCAACTCGCGAAGCCTGACCAGCCAGAGAGCATTCTCTGTGAACTGGGTCAGCGCGGTGTAACCTGGTCGCAGATAGGTATACTTGGTCGGTTTCGCATGGGCGGAACGCGTTGAAAAAGCGAGGAGCGAAACATTCTGTGGAATTGGTAACGAGCGATGGCGGCTTTGATCTTCGATTCGCTGCGCGATGAAAGAGCGGCAGCGTCTCGCAGTTCATTTTTGCATTAGAAGGCTATAGAGTTCTTGCTAAGTTACTGGGAACCCTAGCTGTTTAGGATGATCAGAGTATTAGCTGTTTAGATTGAATGCGGACTGCGGATTCGATGCATTTATGACAATAATGTTTCAGTTAAATACAAGATATTAAAAACATTTAAAGAATTTAAAAATACAGTTGCATCGTTTTCAACTCAGTAAAACTATTAAGAAACGAAATTAATGTCTATGTAGCTCCTGCATCTTATAGTGCAATTCCTTTTTTTGTAGAAAAACCCGCAGTTTAATGATCAGAGCCTTAGCTGTTTCAAATAAGAGGGAATCTTAGGTGTTTAAAATAAGAGGGAATCTTAGGTGTTCAAAATGAGAAGAGTCTTAACTGTTTAAAATGAGAAGAGTCTTAGCTGTCTAAAACGAGAAGAGTCTTAGTTGTTTAAAATGAGAAGAGTCTTAGCTGTCTCTAGAACGATCAGAGTCCTCGCTATCATCGCCGAAGCTCCGACAATGGTCGCGTTTCGACGATTCCTAACGATCTTTGTTTTGCAAAACAGCGAAGTTGCCGAAGTGGTTCGGAGAGAGGCCAGGCAAGAAACCTGGAGACCCCGAGTCTCCGGAGGGCGAAGAAGACGTGAAGGCTGCGGCTGAGGACGAGGAGCTCGAAGAGCCACAATTCGAAGAGGAAGAAGAGGAAGAAGAGGAGGAGGAGGAGGAAGAGGAGGAGGGTGGAGAAGGAAAGGAGGGCGAGGGCGAGGAAGAGGAGGAGGAAGAGGAAGAGGAAGAGGAGGAAGAGGAAGAAGAGGAGGAGGAAGAGGAGGAGGAAGAAGAAGAATAGACAGCTCCTCTCGAACGAATCGGCATCTAACCACCAATTCAATCGATCGATCATCAATCAATCTCGAAACATCCTTCGAACCATCGAATATAGTCGTGGCGGCAGTAGAGGCAACAATGGCGCGCCGTTGTCCCAGAATCCCATCGTTATGGGTCCCTTCACCGTTATGGCAGTGGAAGTTCGACACCGGAAGTCGGACGTCTGCGCGCCGTATTTCTCCGCGAAGGACCCTCACCATAACGGCGAGGATTCCGGCGAGATGAAACACGCTGTTACTACTTACCAGCTGTTCTACTACCACTACTACTTCTACTACTATTATTCTACTACTTCTATTGCTACTATAATTATTATTATGATATTGTACAAAAATACACGCACACACATTATTAAAATAAAACGGTTTATCGTATAACGGCGTCTCGTTACACAGTTCCATCTTTCCTGGGGGCCGCAGGGGATCGTGTCTCGTTATGATCAGACATGCACCGGATGGACCAGATGAATCGGATCAGCTGAATATTCTCCATATTTCACCTATCAAGTGACTAGTCCGCGACATTAAAGCCTCGCATAACGTCATGCATGTTGCTCAATAACTTTTCTTAAATATTTTGTACGCAATTATATTTTACTTATTTCTTCGGTGCCCATTAAATTGAAACATTACGTTACTTAGCAAACCACTTAATAATAGAGAAAGACGATAGACAACTTTGGTCCAGATTCTTAAATCTCGCGGGTTACTTAAAGGATTAAGATTTTATGAGAGATATTCATGGCAACTTGTGCCATTTCAAGGCCACGAACACGCGATTTTTATAAGCATTATTTCAACATTTATTATAAACAAAAGATAGTATTAGATAGCTATTAAGCAAGAACGATCAAAGACGTAATTTTTTTATTTGTAGCTACCAAACTTAGGAGTAAGTTGAGGTCAGTATGAAATCTTTTACAGGTTAAAAGAAAAATATCTTGAGGGATCACCTTGAATTCATATTTAAAAAGCGACTTTGAAACTATTGTACCCCTTGAAAGAGGATAACTTTGTTGAAGATGATCCCATTTACCAGAGACACCCCTCATACATTATTTTGCAAGGAGTGATTTGAATTCCAGATTATAATTCAATCATATTGAACAGAGAGAGAAAGAGAGAGAGAGCATGTTATATTAATTTTATCCACGTTTTATTTGCTTCATTTAATAATACTTCATAAATTCAGTTGAAACTTTTTTATTTATGGAGTTGCATTTGACAAATGTTTCGTAATTCCAGCTAAAACGGTTTAATTCATTTTTACAAACTTATCGATGCAAATTACAGCGCACATAAAGCCTAAATCGCGCCTTCGTTTCGCCGAGAAATTTTTAATAACGGTGCCAAAAGATCCGCGGATAAAATATTTCCGTTCAGATCTTTCGATAGAATTTTATTTATTCCTCCCGAGACCAGTATCGATCGTAAGGAGGTACGTAATGATGCATAATTACAAAATAAAAAGGAATTTCGTTTTAAAACTTACAGATCGTGGGTGGTCGAACAACTTCCGGCGAACTTAACCTTGCCGGTATCGTGTCGGAAGTGTTGCCCATGAAACACGATCGTGTACCCGCAAAAATGATCGTACAACGCTTTTCTCGACGCGATCTATTTTTGCCGTTCCCCACTTAACCTTTCGTCGATGCGATATTCCATTACGGGTGCAACGTGCTGCTTAGGAATCGTTGACGTTTCTTGAACGATCCAACAACAGTAGAGAGTTTCCCTTCAATCTTCTCCGAAACATTTCGTTCCAGTCGTTTCAAAAAAGAATACACCGGCGCCGAGTAACCGCGAGTACGATACAATCGTGCTATATCGATCGATTTATTAACCTTCCGCAAATACCCAGCGAACGTAACGACACCTCGGATTCGCGCCAAAAAGGTGCGAGACGTTCAGGTGTTTGCCAGCAAATGTTCCGCTTCGAAAATAAGCAACACTGCGTCGGCGTTTAATGATAGTCACGGGAATGCCTAGTACCTTAGCAGATTTCGTAGACAAGAGAAATATTTCAGAGTTTCTGATCAGAGTGTCCATTGTCGAGTCGCGCGCCGTCTAGTCATGCTGATTAAAACGTTGAAGCGTGAGAGGTTAATGATCATTCAGAGAAAGAAACGTTTCGAGCAGTCGCTAAGGTAATCCTATTTTCCTCCATGGTTCGTGAACTGTAAAGTATGAGTTGCAAATGTTACGAGATAATTGTTATTCGGCTTTTTAACAGTATCGTGTGAACGTTTTGCGTTTGTGAATAGTTTCATTGTTCCCTCGGCCGCGGGATAGAAAAATTGGCGAACGCCATCTGTCGAAAGGAAATCATGCAAATCTACATGTTAGGACCGCGGTCCGTTAAAATTCAAGGCAGGCCTCGGCGACGGAACAATGACGCGAACCATGGTGATGGAGAGAACGCTAGGCGGTTTTCCGTTTCTATCTCACTCTTTCCCACGGCCATACTTCCGTCGGCAAAACCTGTCTCTCTCTTTCCCCTTTCAACTCGCCTCGCTCCGACCGACCCAGCAGCGAGTGACGGAACCGATTCGATGCTTCACGTTCAAGAACAATTGTTCCTGCACATGTTCCCGTCTCGCGGGTTATCGGATGCGCGCATACAGCCGTTCAAAGGTACGTGAATAATTGGGATTTTTAGTATTCCTTCGTCTAAGTTCTCCTACGAATATCTATTAACAGTATCCCGGTATTATTACATTTATTTATTCAATGCAGACGAATAAATATTACGCATTTCCGATTTTTTATTTACTGCTTTTGAAACTGAATGCCGCCATCCTCTGGAGTCAGGGTTATATGTATGTCTAGTTTCTAAATTTGTAAATAATTTTGTATAAATAGACGAAGATCAGTACCTATGTTTGTGTCAGTTTTATTTGTGTAGGCACGAGTAACTGCATTCGCTTGTGCTACAGCAGTCCTCGAACTTCGCGCGAAATCAAAACAAATATTTTTGAACATTTTCCAAGAAGCCTGAACACAAATCGAAGGATACGATTACTCATTGGTAAACTTCGTGTAATACATTAAGAATAAATCTGCGTATGTAAACATATGCACGTGGTCTTTTCGCAATTTAACGTGGTCTTTGAATCTCATGGATGTGAGCAAAATTCTTTACTCACATCTCATACTGCATCTTGTATATTTCCAGTAGCTTCATTTGTTCAACCGTCAGACGACACTTGACTGTCTGTGGCAAAGTTGTCTCGTGGAAAAGTGAAACTTTCTTTCTGTAACTTTAGATTCTTTAGCTCAATGATTCTACTTTAATACTTTCATCGAATGATAACAAGTTTGATAATCAGAAACAAGAAATTATATTAGTTGTCTCGCCGCACAGATTTATTCACCACAATGTTACTCTTCGAACAAGAAAAGAGTTCCTGACGGCAGGAACAAACTCGCCAATGTGAAGTGACCAATCGGGGGACGGTCACGTGACTCGATGAGCTGCCCTCTGTGTCATCTTTTTAAATTATCTAATGATTTTAGTATCCGCAAGCACGTTGTTAAATAAGGATCTGTCTCGCATTGCGTGAATAAATCTCGTGATTAAAAAGTGGTGTGAGTGGGAATAGCTTGGGTTTGATACACGGTAGGTACGTTTGCCGTTAACTTTGAAGGTTGAAAAACATTCATCACGCGGACGTAGAAAGAAATTTATTTATTGAAGATATTTTGCATCAATGTTAAGTTACGTCATTATGGCTTGATCTTTTGATGAATATTGAATGTTCTTTTTTAAGCTGACATAATGAGACACATTACAACAGAGAGTGGCATCGAATAAAAATTGTGATTCTTATAATTAGACTGCGGATTTTTATGTAATATAAAAATTGTCTGCAATTGCAAGAGATGGAAACTGTATAGCAAAGTTTACTCATTTCTTTAATCATTTAAACAGATTTAAAATAATACACTGATATCATCAAATTCTATTGGAACCACGCAACTTTGCCACGAACGTATAAAATCCGCAGTCTATTGATAATACAAAAGCAATTAAGAGGCTATGTTTCTTAAATTTACGTAAACAAAAGTCAACGAAATACATTTGCATCTTCGCTTTCAGCAGCGAGTCTGAAACGTTTTCAAAGATCACATAAGCGATTTTCAAGGGTTAACCGAACCTCCCGCCATTGTTTATGCCGTATCGAAGGCCAACAATCTCGCGATCCTTGCACGCATCCACCTGGTGGTCGCGAGAGTGTTACTCCCATCACTAGCGAGCGACCGCAACTATTTATAATGGGCAGTCGGTTGGCTCGAGTCTCGCGCGTTCTCTCTCGTTCTTTCCCGCGCCTTCCCCATTCGTTTCTCTCCGTTGCTCTCTTTCGGGGCACAGTGGTCGTCCTTAAGCTCGGTTAATAGTGTCGCCAAGCATACGTCCGAGCGTCAGAGACTGTCCCTACTCTCTTACCTGAGAGAGTGGACCGAAATAGAGCCAGACCGCGAGAGAACGGGAGAAGAGAGCCGGCGAGTTGACGCGACGCGACGCGGCGTGCGTGCGTGTGCCCCGTTCGCGAACAATAAACAATAACAGAGGCCGTCGCGTGTCACGCGAGACAGGCGTTCAGAAAACCGTGTCCGAGACCTGTTGCCGTTTTGCCGGTCGTCGAAAAAGATCCCGCTGGATGTCGCGCGAGTATGTGTGCCCGGACGAAAGTAGTGTATCGTCGTTGAAACGTTCGTTCCGAAGCGGCGAGCCGCGGGAACACGGGCCCGTGTGTCATGGCGGTGATCGCCGCTCGGAACGGCCACGTTCGAGCACGCATAGCTGCGACATGGAGAGAAACAGAGCAAGAACGAGGAGCAGCTGACTACGAGACGGTCCGGACGACAGGCAACAACGATCGATGAGGTGAGTCTTCGTTCTGTGATCTCGGAAACGATCTGGCCGCGTGTGACAGATTGTGGACGCGGGTCGCCGCTGTCACGCGATCTTGCTGTCGCGACGATCCACGAATGTTTGAGCATTCGTTTCGCGGAGATCGCGAACGAACCTCCCACTGTGCTTCACGGAAATTGACGATTTCTGTCGAGCCGCGACCGAACGCATTCGTGTCGTGTTCGTGACGCATTCGCGATCCGCGATAAACGGTCGGGTTTTACCGGTCGCTCGTGAAATGGCGGGAACATTTGCCGGGCGCGACGGATGGCTGAAACGGATACAGGATTCCCACTTTTTGTAAAATCGCCGATGATTATTTCGACGCGGATATTTATAAACATGGTTCGAAGAAGTTTCGCAACCTTTTTTATCAGTTATGTATGAACTTACTGCGTGTGGTACTTTTTTTAAAAAAAGAGTTCTTGCGTATTATAAGTTCCAATTAGAACAGATATAA